ACGTAATTATAACAATACCTGAAATTCCGGGCTGTTACAGTTATTCATCCAGGTGTCTGACACACCATCAACCTCGTCATCCTCATCATCTCTAGAGTCTTGTACATCTTCATCTTGGTTGTAAGACTCATAGTGCTGTGCGAACTTAAGTGGGAATCAATCGTTCACCACTTCAACAATTGAGATATTGCTGATAACTCCTTGGGAAATTATGCTTACTACATCGTTTATCAATCTTTTTTCTTTGATGAGAACCCCAATTTTTACACAAGAATAATCGTCACGTGAAGGAATCTCATCAAAGGGCGAGATGATCCTTCTGTATTTCTGAACAATAGCAGTGCAGTTTTCTTCTCCCCAAAGTTTTAAGGGAAGGCCAAAAATTTTGACCCATGCAACCCTATCACACTCCGGTTCTGTTGTTTCCCCTGATTTAAGCTAAACAAAGAATTATTTCCATTTGTCTTTATTTTCCAAAAAAACTCGGGCTGTAATTGAGGTAGCGAAGTGGAGCGCAACCTTGAGGCTCCAAATGTATTTGATGTCTATATCGACGTCGTTGTACATACTCAGGAGCGAGGGAAGTTGACATATATTATTTATGGTTAGGGATTCGCCAATTAGAGTGCACTTACGTAACCATCCCACCATAGAAGGAACTGGGTTCAGATGCATTAAAGGCGGTGAAGAGGGTAGTGGTTAACCGTAGGAATTTTGATGATTTGGATGTGCCGCCGAAGCCACCACTTCTGAAAAGGTTCTCTTATCTCTTAGCCTTACGTCGACAACGTATCTACAAGTGGGGTTCCCACCGCCCGAGCTGGGATTCCTTGCCTCAATCTCCCACCTTGGAAATCTAGAGATATTAACCATCAATTTACTGCCAAGGAATAATGTGCCATTAATCACTTCCTCGAAGCTTCTAGGATCAACTACCCCAGTGAATCGAACAAAGCCATATATGCCCCCATTCTTTTTTGAACTCACCCCCATAAAATTGTCTGTTGCCTCTCCATATTTAGAAAAGGCTTTCCACAGAGCTCTTTTTTTTCCGCCCGAAGAATATTGGAAGCAAAGAACATCGTCACCTCGTCCTTTGTTTTCCTTACCTTATCTTTGAATCTTCTGCTTTGTATCTTTGTCCATCCCCTATTGACATCACCATCACTTCCCATATGTTTGCAGTCAGAAAACTTTAGGAAATAGACAATATGAACTAAATTTATACAATAATATGATCTAAGAGGAGGTGTAGATAAAAGCAATCAAGATGAGGATGTACAAGACTCTGGAGATGATGAGGATGACAAGGAGGTGTAGATAAAAGCAATCAAGAAAAAGAGAGAGAGTTAACATGAGGTGCATGTTTTAGCGAGAAAAAGAAACAATTTGCTACTTCTTATCCCTTTCTAATAAATTTAGAGATGAAAAACAATAAACTGGAAATTCTATTATTATTATTGAATCAAGTGTTTACAACCGTTGTATATATAAGGAAAAAGAGTTGTAGATGTAAACTGATAAACTTGAATAAGGAAACTAAATCTTAGCTAACAAGTAATCCTAAGATAACTAGGAAATGAGATAAGTATCTTAACACTCCCTCTCAAGTTGGATTGTGCAGATAACGAACTCCCAACTTGCTACATAGAAAATGAAAATGGTTTGCACCAAGTTCTTTGGTAAATATGTCAGCAGTTTGATACTAAAAGATTGAGATTACCGGTGGCTGGCAAAAATAACCCTTGTTTCGGTGAACCTTTTAAATATCGAAGGATGCGAAAGGCATCATCCATATGATATTTTTTCGGCTCATATAGAAATTGACTGAGTTGATTAACAGCAAAAATTATGTCTGGGAGAGTAACGGTGAGGTAAAGCAATCTTCCCACCAACCTTCTGTATTGTACTGTACTATGATGCATCAACATTCTCACCATTGTCATCTCGATGAAGGCATAAATTTTGCTCCAAATGAAAATTAAAAAGTCGACACCGTTATGTCGCACTGTCTTTGAGAATATTGATGGTGTATATTCGTTGGCTTAAGACAAAACCTTCTTCCGATCTTGCCACTTCAATGCCTAGAAAATATTTGAGAGTACCCAAATCCTTGATCTTGAAATGAGATTGCAAATACTCTTTTACTTCATTTATCTTCCCATTATCATTACCTAATAGGAGTATCTTTTCTACGTATATGAGAGCAATAATATATATGGTACCTAGCTGAAGAACAGACATAAAATGATCTACATTGATTGTTGAAAACCAAACCTAACGATGGCCTTTGTGAATTTTGATACCTATTTATGGATGCTTGACGTAATTTATAGATAGACTTTTGTAACTTGCATATGCGTCCTTCACTTTTATCAAAACCTTGAGGTATCTTCATATACACATCTTCATCTAAATCTCCTTGCAAGAAGGTATTATTTACATCCATCTGGTGCACTTCCATTTCTTTTTGGCTACCACATAAAAAACACATCGACGGTTACTAACTTTGCAACCGGTGCAAATGTTTCATGCAAATTAATTCCTTCTATCTGTTGGGTTTTCTATACTACAACATCCTATGGTGCACATACAACCCTAAATGCCTTGTATATATGTTTTCTCTAATTATAAATGTAATAGTGTTTCCAAAGCATTAAGCCTATAACTAGCATGCAATTGACATGAACAATATAAAATACTAGTTAGGATAACATACCTTTTGTTATAACTTGAATCCTTGTTGTATTTGGACTTAAAGAGCTTAGACCCAATAGTGTGGAAGCCTCAAATGGAATCACAACACACCTAGGACAAAGGTGGACATTAGAGAGAGAAACTCCATGCACCAAAAACTCCATAAACTCCAAGAACATTAGAAGTGGTGATTTTGGGTAAAGGAGTACATATTTATATGTAGGATTCTAAGGGTCATGGGTATAACCCAAATCCATACCCATGAGTTTTATGATCCATGGTTCATGTGGCTCAATTATTTATGTATCCATACATAAACTTGGTCCAACATGGATCATAAGCCCAACACATATAAATATAACTAATTACAATAATTAGTCCCTATAGATTTAATTAGTCTCTTTTGATCACTGAATTAATTCCAAATTAATTCTTGATCAATATTAATTAAAACCATATGATTTCATATTAATATATTAGTACTTATAATATATTAATAAATCATATATAACCTTCTCTCAAGAGTCCATCCTAACAAATTGTCCTGATGATATGCAACCCAAATGGACCATGCTACTCTCGGGTCAAGTACATACCAATAATAGTTATGGGCTTAGACATCTAATCCAACGTCTGCGTGAAACCTTTAGCCACCAATCGAGCTTTATATTGCTCAATCTCTCCATTGGGTATGTATTTTATCTTGTATACTCACTTTGAATCAATATCCTTCTTCCCGAGTGGCAACTTCGTTAGTATCCAAGTGCCATATTCTTCAAGTGCACAAATTTCTTTACTCATGGCATCTCTCCAATTTGAATCCTTGATAGCTTGTAAAAAGTTTTTAGATTCATCATGAGAAGTTATAGCTGCAAGAGAAGCTTTGTGAGAATTTCAAAGTGCATATATGATACAAAATTTGCAAGAGGATATTGTGTGCATGAACCTTCCACCGTTTTCGCGTGCGTCGGTGATGGAGGCAAATCATTGTGGAATTCTTTAAGATGTTTTGGTGCATTCCTAACTCGAGAAGTGAATATCATTTGTTGAGATGTTGCATATTGAGATCGAGGTAGTGGTGGTGTCTAGTTTGTAGTTGTCTCGTGTGTAGGTAGGTTGATCACTGTTA